ACGACACTTATGAAGGGTGTGCCGAAAGAGGTACATGCGGAGGGCAGAAGCAATGAGGGAAAGGAGTGAGGGGAGGAGGAGAGAAGGAGATGAAGGAAGGAAACGCGGGGCGCTGTCTCGCCAAAACGAGGACCCGCCACCACAGGATAGTTGGGAAAAAGTCTGGGGGCTGAAACAAGCAAGCCGCATGAGACAGACCCACAAACTGAACACGAACGGGGCCGTGAGATACCCCAATGGCGGCTCTCCTTCGGGAGTGCTGAAACGAACGCCTCGCCTGAGACATCCCCACAGTCTGCTCCAAAAGCGCGCACGCCGCTTGAAAAATCCCCACAAACCCGTCGCAAGTTTTAAACTGTCCCCACCCCTCGGGGCTCCCCTTTGGGAGAGCTGACACCAGCGCCTAGCCTGAGACATCCTCACAACATGATCCGAAAACCGAGGATGTTGGCGGGCAGATGCAGGCAACCCGCCTGAAACATCCCCGCAAACTGGGCGCTAGTTTGGGGTTGTTCCCACTCCTGGCGCCCCTCACCCCCCCGTGGGAGTAGTGAAGCCAACGCCTCGCTGGAGACCTTCTCACAATATGTTGCAAAATCGGTAAATAATAATATCTAAAAACGGAGGATGCTGGCGAGCAGAAGCAGGCAAACCGTCTGAAACTTCCCCACAAACTGGACGCTAGTTGTGGGGTGTTCCCACTCCTGGCGCCCCTCACCCCCCCGTGGAAGTAGTGACGCCAACGCCTCGCTGGAGACCTCCCCACAATCTGTTGCGAAAGCAAAGGATGTTGGGGGGCAAATGCAGGCAAATCGCCTGAGATATCCACACAATCCGGGCGCAACTTTTGAAGTGTGTTCGTCCCTGGCGACACCCCCCCACATCCTCTTGGCTTTTGGGAGTTCTGAAATCTGCGCCTCGCCGGAGACATCCTCACATTGTGCTCCGAAAGCAAAGGATGTCGGGGGGTAGAAGCAGGCAAACTGCTCGAGACATCCCCACACGCTGGGAGCGAATCCGGCAATGTGTTCGCCCCTGGCGCCCCCCCCCCGGGAGCTGAAGCCAGCGCATCGCCTAAGACATTCCCCAGATCTGCTCCGTAAGCAGAGCATGCGTGGGGACGGAACGCGCAAACGGCTTGAGGCATCCCCACAATCTGGGCGCGACTCCTGGAGTGAGTTCGCCCCTGGCGCCCCGCCGGCCCTTCGGAGTGCTGTAGCCAACACCTCGTCTAAGCTATCCTCACAACCTGTGAGTGCGTGATTATGAGTCTGAGTAAGTCTGGGAGAGGCAGTGATGTGACTGAAGAAGAGGGAGCGGAGGCAGAGGAGGAGGAGGATCACAAGTAAGAGGAATGTCAAGAGGCGTCTAAGTCACAACAAGAGCTCCATCTTGGGATTTGCGGAACAAGACCATGTCGCCGAATGCCTGGATTCCTCCCCGCAGAGCGTTTCAGAGCGTAGCCTCCGAGGGTTCCCCCCAGGAATTATGAAGCTAAACTGGGCCAGGGGACTTGCGGCGTGACCTCTCTGTTCGTGCGATGACTCTCAGCCTTGCTCTGGATCTCTTACCCTGTGGCATTCCACACATAGCAAGCGCTGTGGGTGGTCTGTGCCATCAGAAGAATGGGTGGTCGGGCCAGCGCCTAATTCGTAATTTGGGATGTCGCGCGCCGTGCCGTGCTGTGTTCATCTTCGGTAACGCGTCATGGGGCTGACCAGGATTTGGTTCGAGATTTATCAAGCGGCCCTCGGCGCAGTCTGTGGCGAAGCCAACACCAGGCCTCGGCGCAAACTGCTGTGCAACACCGTGCGGTTATGGGCACAGCCCATGGCAAAACCAACAACCAACCTACAACGCAACCTACAATACAACCCAGCGGCCCTCGGCGCAAACGACAGCAGACACAACACACCACCTGTGGCGCAACGTATGCCGTGTGCGCAGCCGTGCTGTGCCGCACAGTGCGGCGGGCGGAGTCGCGGATCCAATTCGTGATTTTGCTGCCGCTCGCAGGCCGGGGCGAGATGCCGTGATTTTTCGTGATGCGGTACTGTCCTTGCCGTCCCATGTGCACTGCGGTGCCGTGAGCCCCAAAACACCAGCTTGAATCACGACCTCCGCGACGGAAGAAGCGTTTGTCCGCCCGACAGGAAAGGATCCCACGCCCTACCCTCCGCGTCTCATCCGCCTCTATCTACAAACGCGTCCCTCCTCCCCTCGCCCCCTCTCCTCCTCCCCTCCCCCCCCGATCACCCCACTTATGCATCCGTCCCGTAATCTTCCCCTTCACTCCCTCCGATCGCCTCCGCTCGCTGCTCTCCCCACTGCCCTCACCTCCGCATTTTTCCACTTGCGCATCCCCCACTTTCCCTCCGTCCTGTCACGCTCCCTTGGTGTGCTCCCCACCCCCGTCACCTAGGGGGACCCCCGGGCGTTGGGGTTATGGTCCTTGGTCCCTAGCCACAAAAACGCCACTCATCAGACACAACTCCCTAAGATCTGGTCCCGTGGCTTTCCGCCGCGGAGTCTGAGTTCTACTAATCCATTGAACTGTGCAAGGAGAAAAGCAGAAGAAAGGGAGGGGCGAGGAAGAAGGCGGAAGCATGGGCGGCCCAGCAGGGGCAGGGAGAGGAAAGGAAAGGGGCGGCCGGAGGCGGGGGCGGCCGGGTCGGTGGTGATAGTGGCAGTGGTGGTGGTCATGGCGCCATCGCGCTGGCCGTGCCGCACCTCTCCTTCCCTCCTCCGCTCGCCCCGCATCCCAGGCACTGGCCCGACACGGCCACTTCTCCTGCTCCTCCTCCTCCTCCTCCTCCTCCTCCTCCTCCTCCTCCTCCTCCTCCTCCTACTCCTCCTCCCCCTCCCCCTCCCCCTCCTCCCCCTCCTCCTCCTCCTCCTCCTCCTCCTCCTCCTCCTCCTCTTCCTCCTCCTCCTCCTCCTCCTCCTCCTCCTCCTCCTCCTCCCCCTCCTCCAGGATCAAGCCCTCCTCCCGGGCATCTTTGTTGACGGCCCTGGGGCCCGACCGCGGCCCCCTGGAGCCCGAAGGCGGCGCGAGAAGCCTCCGGCCTCCTTGCCCTCCAACTGCACGGTGGGCCAGGGGCCTGCCACAGTGGGCTCGAGCAGATGGGATCGGATGATCGCGCCGCATCACCGATGCATAGGCGACGTCGGCGTGGAGCAAGTCAGGCTTCACACCGGCGCGCTCCACCGGCCCCACCTGCTCTGATCCTAATGCGGGGTCCACGGAAGTCTCGACCCTCCTTTCCCCAGGGCTGGTGTTTCATCCCGAATCGTTTGTTGACGGTCCCTGGACCCGGCCGGGGCCCTCCTGGGGCCCAGAACGGCCAAACACTATCAGTCGTGTCTTTGTTCCAACCATCCTGCGGTAGTGGGCCCTCGCCTTGAATCAGAAGCGCCCCGCATCTCCTCGCCTCTCCTTCTCCCGCTCTTCGCTCCTCCCACTCCTGCTTGTCTTCCGCATAAGCGCTTCGGCACATCCCTGACATGTTTCTGGGCTCCACCGAAGGCCCCATTGGGAGAGTCCGCATGGCACCACCGCACCCATTTCGGAAAACACCTCACGTGGTTCTTGGCTCCATAGGGAATTCCACACGAGGCTCCACTGGGAAGGCCCGCATGGCGCCACTGCACCCATGTCGACACACCCCTCCACGTTTTTGTGGCCCGTAGAAAGCTCCACCGACTCCACCCGAACGGCAGTACCCGAATGTCGACACAGCGCAGATTCCGGCACACCTCTCACACGCTTCGTGGCCCCACAGGGAACCCCACCGAATGTGAGAGGGTCCGCATGGCGCCGCCGCACGATCTCGGCACACCCCTCACAGGCATCGTGGCCCAATAGGGAGTCCCACCAGAGGCCCCACTGGGAGGGTCCGCAAGGCGCCACCGCGCCCATTTCAGCACACCCCTCACAGGCTTCGTGGCCCAAGAGGGAGCCCCACCTAGTGGGAGAGTCCGCATGGCGCCACCGTGCCGATTCCCTCACACGTTTCGCGGCCCCATAGGGAACTTCACCGAAGGCCCCACTTGGAAGGACCGCATAGCGCCACCGCGCCCATGCACATTCCTCAAACGTTTCGCTGCCCCATGGGGAGCTCGAGTAAAGACTCCAGCGGCTGGGTCCGCATGTCGTCACCGCACCCTCACATGCTTCGTGGCCTCATTCGTTGCACCTGCCTCGCGACATTCGCAGCGGCAAATGGTTGGGTCCGCGGCCAGGCAAATTGCTCGACGCGAGCACAGATGGGTCTCCCCCAGAGTTACTTGCCTCCTTTTGGGGGTCGGAGCGTTGCGCCAGTCGGCGACGCCGGCGTCGAGAACACCGGCTCCCACATCGAGCCGCATCGCCGCTGCACGGGCCATGAGGCGCGCTCCACCGACCCCATCTGTTCTGACCCCATCAAGGGAGGCCTCGAGTGCGCGTGCCTCGCGTGGCGATGCCAAGTTGGAGTCCCGGAACGGTGCGGTGACCCACCGTGCGGTGACCTCGGACCCCCAAAGGACCTCACCGCACGGTCCGCCACCGCGCGGCCTTGGGACGCCGGAGGCCCCTGCCGCCCGAGACGTCCCCGGAGAGGGCCACGAGTCCCAAAACCGTGCGGCGATCCCCCGAACCCCCCCACCGACCCACCGCACGGTCTGGTCACCGCCCCGTTTGGGGGCCCCCGACCCTGACCTTCCAGAGAGCTATTTTTTAGCTCTGGAGACCTAAAAACCTAAAAAACGAGACGAAACAGCCTAAAACCAAGACGTAGAATAGCTCTGGGATAGGTTTTTAAGTCGCGTGCTATTTTCTAGCCCTCCTGGAAGGTCAGGGGAGCCAACCCACCCCCGCCCACCGCGGCCGGGGCGGCACTCGGCGCCGCGTCCTGCCGCAGGCCGCCCCCCGAGCTGTCGGCTGCGGCCGCGGGGCCCGCGGCGGGCGGGTGCTCGGGCTTGTCCAGCCCGGCCGGCCGCGGCAGCGGCGGCTTGTGGGCGTCCGGGGGCGCGGGGGCCTCGGCGGTGTCGGCCGCTGGGGCCGGGGGTGCGAGCGGGGAGGGCGACGAGGGGGGGCCCTCTTTTGAGGCACACCTCTTTTCTCCACCTCCCTCGTCCTCGCCCCTCCTGGCCCTGCTTCTCCCCCCACTGCTCCTGGCCCCTCCTCGACTTTCTCCCTCCCCCTCCCTCGTCGTCCTGTCTCTTTTCCTTCTCTTCTTTGTCCATGCACCCCACCTGCTCCTGCCGCCTCCCTCCCGCGGAGGAGACGGGGTTTTCGAGAGAGAGTGGGAAACGACTCAAGACAGGATGTGGGATGAGGGAGCAGGAAGAAGAGGAGGGAGCGGGAGAAGGGAGGGAAAGAGAAAGAGGAGGAAAAGGAGGAGGAGGAGGAGGAGGAGGAGGAGGAGGAGGAGGGTCCCTTCATATCAAATGACACCTGGCGGAGGAGGAGGAACAACAAAGTAACAATGAACAAACTAAAGAGGCGGAGAAGAAGGAGGAAGAGGAGGAGGAGGAAAATGATAGTGAAGATGAGGAAGAAGAGGACGAGGGAGAAGGAGGAGGAGGGGGAGGATGAGGAACAGGAGGAGGCGGAGGAGGAGGAGGGAGCAGGAGGAGGAGGAGGGGGAGGAGGAGGAGAAGCAGGAGGAGAGCAAATCAGGAGGAGGAGGAGAAGCAGGAGGAGGAGAAGGAGGAGGAGAAGGAGGAGGAGGAGGAGGAGAGAGAGAGAGAGAGGAAGAAAGAGAGAGAGAGAGAGAGAGAAAAAGAGAGAGAATTAAAGAAAGAAGAGGAGGAGTAAGAGAAGGAAAACAGGAAGAGGAGGGAGAGGAGAGACGTCAGCAGAGAAACGCATTCATTCGCTCCGCCCTGGTGGTCTCCGCGCGCGCGCGCAGGAGCGCCTCCGAACGCGGCGGCGGGGCAGACCCTGCCGCTGGGCGCGAGGGGGCAGACGCGCCGCACTCAGGAGCGGGCCCCTGGCCGCCAGAGGCGGCGCAGCCAGCAAGCGCGGGGGGCACGACAGGCGAGCGCCCAGCGCCCACGGGCGGCCGCGCAGCGCGTGCGGAGTGATTCCCTCTCCTCCTCCTCCTCCTCCTCCTCCTCCTCCTCCTCCTCCTCCTCCTCCTCCTCCTCCTCCTCCTCCTCCTCCTCACTTGGCTCAAGTCCCACTTGGCCCCCATCTGGGGGCCAAAGGGGGCTTGAGCGCCGTGGCCTGCCTGTCTGGCTCAGTGGCGCCGCCCCCCTTTGCGCGCGCGCGCGCGCCGCCTGCGCCATGGCGCGCCGGTGCATGCCGGGCGGCAGGCATGGCGGCGCGCGGGCGGCGGTCGGGCAGACGTGGATCTGCTTCCCTCCCCTGCCCTGCGGTTGGGCATGGGGCTTCGGCGCCACCCCGGGGGCAGGGCCCCCCCCCATTGGGGAGTGCCCTTGGCACCGAGCTGCTGGGAGGCCGCTGGCGGCAGCGCCGCGTGGGCCGGTCGGCCCGACGGGGGCGCCGAAGCGGGGGGCACCGCCGACGGCTGCGCCGAGGGGGCCGGGCGGCCCGTCGGCAGCGCCCAGGCGCGCCATGGAGCGAGTGCAGGGACCGCTGGCGGCGGCGCCGAAGGGACCAGGAGGCCCCGCGGCTGCGCCGAAGCGGGGGGGGCGCCGACGGCAGCGCCGAAGGGGCTGGACGGCCCTTCGGCAGCGCCGAGGCGTGCTCCGGGACAGGCGCCGAGCTCGCTGGCGGCAGCGCCGGGGCGGCCAGGAGGTCCCACGGCTGCGCCGAAGCGGGCTCCGGAGAGGGCGTCGCAGACCGAGGCGGCGGCGCGCAGGGCAACCCTGGTGCCCGCAAAGCCCCGGTCGGCGGCGAGGCCGGCTTGTATACCTGGGGCCAGCAACGACGCCGGAGGCGGAGGCGGCGCCGCGCGCCCCAAAGACCCCGCCAAGGCGGGGGGGCCAGCAGGGCGGCAGGGAGACAGCGAGGAGGCCTCGAAGCAGCGCGGGCGCCCTCGCAGCCCCCCAGCGAGCCCGTCGCGGGCTACGCCGGGCGCCGCCCGCCGCGGAGGAGGCGCAGGAGGCGCAGCGGCAGCCTCGCGCGGGCGCGGCGCAGGCGCCCGCGCCGGGAGCGCTCCAGCGAAAGTCTAGCGGCCCTCCGCGCTGCCACCAGCGACGAAAACGGAAGCTCCTGCCTTGGACTGCACTTTCCGAAGAGCGGGAGGGGCCCGAGCCACGAAGTTCTGCAGTCCTTTCAGCGGGATCCCGAGGCGAGCGGCCTCGTCCTCGAACAGCAGAGGGGCGTCGCGGCGAGGCATCTCTGAGCCACCTGGCAGCGCTGAGGCCCGGGCCGTCGCGGCCGCCCGAACCGCCAGCATAGCCCGCATCTCGACCACGACTTCCGATCTGGACATGGGAGCCCCAGGGCTGCGACTGCCCGACTGGGGGCCAGCGGCTGCGCCGCTGTCGCAGGCGGAACTGCGAGCCCCGTGTTGGCCCCCGGGCGCCTCGGAGGAGGGACCGCCTCCAGGAATGCGCGCTCGCGCCATCGCCTTCCGCCCCTGGATCCGAGATGGACCCGATCTCCTCGACGTCTTCCGACGCCAGATGGCACGGCGTCGCCCGCTCGGCCCCCAGCAGGCCCCCTCTCGCCTTCGGCAGGCGGAGCTCCGTGGAGCGCGGCGAACTGCTCGCGGAGCAGACGCGCCATGGACGGGCGAGGCCAGCAGTGGACGGATCGGCTGGGAGAGCCGCGGGCAACGGCGATAGAGACTCGAGCTCCAGCTCGTTGACCTCCAAGTCGATCGCCAGGGCCGACGCCGTAGTGGCCAAGGCGCGCGAGGCTGCCCCGAGGAGGGGCACGTCCAAGACCAAGTACGGGCCCTAGCAGCCCTGGGATGCCATCCGCCTCCGCGGCCGCCAGCTCGGCACCCGAACGGGAGCCCGAGGGACGCGCAAGCAACGCACCAAACTCTCGTTGAACGAGCGGGATAGCGTCGAAACTGCGGTCTCCCTCGTCGAGCCGCCACCTGCCGTAGCCCGTCGCGGATGGCGGCTCGAACGAATGCAGCTCGGGCCACGCTGGGCCTTCTGGCATTGCGGTCACGGCGGCCATCTTCACCAGCGACCAGAGGCTCTTGCACACACAGTAGCACGCGGCTGGCCCGCTGCAGATCCGCCAGCGCGCACGTTGCAGGGGAGCCCGCGCGGGTGGCCCGCAGGCCGACCCGAGGGGATTAACCCCGAAGCGGCGACGAGGGCCGAAGGGCCGCCGCCGCCGTGCCGCGCAAGGCGGCTTGACGGCCAGGGCCGTGGGCCCAGGCCCGAGCAGCTGCACTCTCGGGCGGTGGCGGCGGCGCGACCGACGCACCGCGAAGGCGAGCCAAGAGAGAGCTCGCGCGGCGGACCGCCAGGCCCCGCAAGACAGCAGCCTCCGAAGAAGCTGCAGCAGACGGCCACTCCCAGAAGCGAGAGGGCCGTCGCAAGCAGGAGGGGAGAAACCTCGCCGCTCAAGTCCACCGCCAGCCCAGTGCAGAGGGTGGGGCAGGCGGCGGGCGCCTCGGGAGCAGGGCGCTCCGCTCCTGCTCCGAGGCCCGCAGCCTGAGACGGGGGCCTCCTGGCCCGCCAAGGGCAAGGGGCGGCCTGCGAAGCGCTCGAACAGCGCGGCCCGCAGACCCTGGCAGAGCACAGCACCGCCCGCCTCCGCCAGCAGCTCCACGGCGCGCTGCATCAGCTGACCGCGAGCCGGGGGGGAGTGGGCGGCCACTGGGCCGAAACACTGCACAGACCGCGGGAGGAAGGCGCAGACAATAAGAGGGAGCAGGAGGAGGAGGAGGAGCAGGAGGAGGAGGAGGAGGAGGAGGAGGAGGAGGAGGAGGGGAGGAGGAAGAGGACGAGGAGAAGGAGGAAGAGGAGGAGGGGGGAGGAGGCGGAGGTGGAGGAAGAGGAGGGAAAGGGAGGAGGAGGACAGAGGAGGGAGGAGAGAGGAGGAGGACTTACCCCCCCTGGGCGTGGCCGCGGCCTCCGCCCGGGCGGCCTCCCCGGGCGGCGGGCCGCCAGAGGCGGGCGTCGGCAGCGAGGCCGCGCCGGCCGCCTTCGACACCGTTCGGGGGGCCTCGGGGGGGTGGTTCGCGACATGAGCGCGGGCACTGTGCTCTCTGAAGCTAACCAGCCTCGCAGTGATCCGTGTCCCTAGGACCGACATGCCCAAGGCGGTGCCAATCTTAGGGGTACGCCCTCAGAAGCTAAGGGGATCCTTCAGATCGGCACCGAGGTAAGGTGATGCCAACCATTGGGATAGGGATCTGTTTCAAGGCGGCGGGTGGTGAAAGGCACGGGAATTAAACTGAGGGGGTACGCTAGAGCTGCTTGACAGTATGTAACGACCAGGAAGGTTGAGCTGCCAGGTCCCCAAGCTTGTTCGACTTACGGCCTCGACATCTACTGGGTCACGGGTAACTACGCGGCATGTGCGCGGGCGCTGTGCTTTCCCAAATGCGGGCAAGGATTGCGCCTTGGACGTTCTTGGAAGGGGCGCCTCGGGCTTCCAGGGAAGGGATCCCGAAACTCCAGGCTGCACTGGATACAGTCGGACTTGCATGGAAAGGACACGCGACAGGACACAAGACCCTTCCGAGGGTCACCGCGCCATAGGAATGTAGGGGGCACGGGTCGCGACACAGAGGATTTAATGGTACCCTTGATTTGGCAGGGACGACCTACGAATCAGAGCCGACGGTATGGACAACGTCTTGCCCGCGTCAAATGCCTGCCTCTGCCACCCCAGGAGAGGCCTACCGCCTCGGAAGAGGAGGGGAGGGCGAGCGGAGGGCTGCCCTGGTCCGCCGTGGCCGGGCTGGGAGGGCACGAGAGGACGTTCACTCCGTTTCCTCTTCCTCCTCCGTCTCCTCCACCTCCTCCTCCTCCTCCTCCTCCTCCTCCTACTCCTCCTCCGCAGTGGGGCTGTTCGCTCCTCCGTCTTCTCCTCCTCCTCCTCCTCCTCCTCCTCCTCCTCCTCCTCCTACTCCTCCTCCGCAGTGGGGCTGTTCGCTCCTCCGTCTTCTCCTCCTCCTCCTCCTCCTCCTCCTCCAACTCTTTTCCTCCTTTCCTCCTCCTTCTCCTCCTCCTCCTCCCCCTCCTCCTCCCCCTCCTCCTCCTTCTCCTCCCCCATGCGGGGACGTTCGCTCCTGCTCCTAGGGCGGGAGGGAGAAATCTGCCCCGCCCTTGCGCTGCTGTGGCGTAGGCCGGCGAGAACGCCGAGGGGGCACCGGGAACAGGAAAAAAAGGGGGAGGGGACGCGACGGAGAAGGTGATGATATGACGAAGTGGCCGCGTATGCGTACTTGAGCTGCAGTTGCATCTCTACTCCTACTGCTTCTGCCACTGGCGGTGCAACGACTATTCGTAGCCACGGATAGGACATCGCTAGCACACCGAACTGCATAATAAACTGCTGTAGAAGTGGTGGCCACTAAGCAGTGGTACCCATCGAAGCACCAGCAGCAGTACTAAATGCATTCATGGGAAAAAACAGTTGTGGCGATATTGATGACTGTGCGAATGCAGCCGACAAAATAAGTTATCCAGACAATGATGAGTCAATGACATCTGGGCCAACTTCGTGGACATGTCTTGAAGCACGCCTGGGCCATTACATCCTCCGATTCCTAGATTTTGATTCCCTGGACCCCCCCAACCCCCCCACCCCCCCACTCCAAACCCGGACCCCCCCCAGGGACGCCCCAGACGCCCTTCCGGGCGTACGGCGGCCCCCCCGGGACGCCCTTGGAAAAGGCCCGTTGGCCCGTCTGGGCCTCCCGGGGCGCCTTGCCTGGCCGTGCGAGCAGACTCAAAGCGATCAGAAGGGTCCTCAGAGAGGCGCCAGAGAGACCCAAGGCAGCACAGGGGCGCTCCAAGAGGAACCTCGATGGTCCGAAGACGGCCCACGTGGCCCCCAACACGCCCCAGGAGGCCGTCAAGATAGCCCCGAAGAAACAAAATTCGTCCCTTTCCCTCCGGGAAATGTGATTGTGTTGCATATCCGCTTTTTGTTTGTTGGATCTTCGCAACGTCCAGGACGGCCCGATGGGCCCCCGATGTCGCCCCAAGACGGCCCAAGGGGCCCCCCAGAGGGGTCGATGACAGCCCAAAAGGGCCCCCCAGAGAGCCCCGAGACTGCCCACAAGAAATCCAAGATACCCCCAGAAGGCTCCCAAGAGAGACCCACGAAAGCCATGTGAGACCCCTGAGGAAACCACTGGAGGCCCCCAAGACGGCCTTAGATGGCCCCGGGACGGCCCAAAAGGGCCCCAGGACGGCCCAAAAGCGTTCCAACAACGCCCAGACGGCGTTCTCCGTGCGTTCGCTACGCTCACGCGAGCCCGCCTGTCTTTCCCGCACCTCCATCACCATCTCTCTCTCTCTCTCTCTCTCTCTTTCTCTTTTTTTGATTTCTCAGCGTTGGTGCTGGTGTTGCGGATGCTACGATCCGAATGCGAGCATGCAGTTTCTAATTCCAACAGTATTGGCAGCAGGACCAATGGTTGCCGATGTAGTAGAATGCGAAAATGACGCTTGGGGCAGGAGTGAAAATAGTGCCAGGACTGCCAGGCTAGGAACAACACAGGCGCTTGAAGATGGGAACGTTGTCGCGTGTGTTGTCCTCCTGGTGAGAGTCGATGTGGAAACTCGCAGTAGTACTATGAAAACCACCAAGAGGCAACAGCATCATGCGCCACGAAGGGTACATGAACCACAAGTAGTGGCTCTGCTGGGGTAGTGATGGTGGTAGTGGTGGCAGAAAGCAGCGGTGGCAATATCAGTAAGGGGTCAACGCAAGAACACCTGAAAATTGCAGAACGTGCGGAATTGATCAACGGTGTTGGTAAATGAGTATTATTGAAGTACCCGTCCACAGTAAAGAGTAACATGTGTGGCAATCAACAACAAGGGTGTCGCGGTAACGGTGGTTCTCGCAGTACCAACCGGCGCACCTAAGATAAGAATCAGCTGACAAATGATTCGTTTAGTTCCAGCGGCAAGAAGACTGGCGCCAATCATGGTCGCTTCAAATACCAAGGAAAGAGCTGCTGGTGGCGGGGAAAAAAACACAATTCCCAATATACCCGGGCGAGACGGTAACGGTGGGGGTCCGACTGGCCGTGCTCATTGCAAACGCCGCGGGCTGCTCCGTTACTGCTACTGCACTGGTGTTGACTAATAATGGTGCCGGACTCACTTGTACAGGTAATGGAAGGAACAATGGCGAGAGCACCAAACAAATCAATAGTGTCTGTAGCCATGGCTGTCGTAATCTGTGTATGGAACGAGTTCGGCGCACATTCGCTGGCCCCAGGCGCACACGGCGGACGCAGGCGCGAGCAGTCGCCGCGCCGCCGCTTGGCTCGCGCGCGCCGCGGCGCGCCGCAGGCGATGTGGGCAGGCCCGCGCGCCCCCGCGCGCGGCCGCTGCCCGCCGCGGCCGCGCGCAGGTACCACAGGTTTGTGCGCGCCTGGGGCGCGCGCCCCGCGCTCGGGATTTGAGCGCGGGGCGCGCGCGACCGCGCGCGTTGGCCGTCGCCCCGCGCGCCGCCGCCTGCTCGTCGCTGCCGCTTGCCGCCGCTCGCCTGCTCGCTGCGTGCTGCGTGCCCTGCGGTGCTGCTTGCCGCCGCCTGCCTGCTCGTGCGTGCCGCTTCGCCTTGCGCCGCCGCCTGCCCCTGCTTGCTGCTTCCGCGCGCGTCCGCGCCGGTCTTCGCCGCGCTGCCCTCCTGCCCCTCGTGCAGGTTCCCTCCCCCTTCCTCCCGCGCGCGGTGCCTCCGCCGTTGTCAGGTTCCTTCCTCCCTCTCCTCTCCCCCCGCAGGTACCGATTCCCTCGTCGTTTTGCCGGACTCGAAAAGATGCCAGGACGACTTCCCGTTACTCTGCTAGTGACTACGGGACCTAATTTAGGTCCAGTCTGCGTTTCGGCCTAACGAGGTCGTTGCAGGCGCGATTCGACGCCAACGCCGCATCCGAGCGTGGGCCGCGTGCGACCGACCGAACGTGGTCAAATTAGACGCAAATCGACGTCTACGCCGCAGCCGAACGAGGATAGCGAGCGAACGACCGAACTAGGTCCGATTAGACGCAATTCGACGTCTACGCCGCATCCGAACGAGGATAGCGAGCGAACGACCAAAAGAGGCCAAATTAAGACGCAATTCGACGTCTACGCCGCATCCGACGAGGATAGCGAGCGAACGACCGAACAAGGTCCGATCTGACGCAATTCGACGTCTACGCCGCATCCGAACGAGGATAGCGAGCAAACGACCGAACGAGGTCAAACTAAGACGCAATTCGACGTCTACGCCGCATCCGACCGAGGATAGCGAGCGAACGACCGAACTAGGTCCGACTAGACGCAAGTCGACGTCTACGCCGCATCCGAACGAGGATAGCGAGCGACCGACCGAACGAAGTCATATTAAGACGCAGTTCGACGTCTACACCGCACGTGTGGCGCGCGAGCGCACTTCCGAGCGGGGGCTGTTCAGACGCGATTCGACGTCTACGCCAAACGAGGCCCGCGTGTACGTGGTCGGCTTCGGTGCGCGAGCTGCAGCCGAGCGCGGACAGAGTGCGCGCGAGCGCGTCATGTGCGTTAACAGGCGGCGCCCTCTCGCACCCATGTTAGATTTTCAAGCTTTTCTGCCTGGCGTCGACGCGCACGCAAAGCGCGTCGAGGAATACCTCCGCGACGCCATTGCAGCACTTCGCGCGAATTCTGTCACGGCGAGCGCCACGCGCTTTCTCGGTCCGTCTGTCGCGCACAGCGCGTGCCAGGTTGAACAAGACCTAGGTTCGTTCGACAAGGGCGGCCTCAACGGTGGGAAGGTAGCCTTCCTCGACCGCGCCGTCAAGCGTGCCGCAGAGAACGCCGCCAGGGCCGAGGCGGGACGCATGGCCGCCGCCCGCGGCGACGACGGGGCGGCGCGGGGGTCGAATGACCCTGTCGCTGCGCTAGTGGACGCACTCGCGCGCAAGCCGACTGCGGCCGCGCACGTCGACATCGGCGCGAAGCTGGGCGACATCCGCCTCAGCGATTTGCCGTCTGCTTGCTGGCCGTCGCCGGCGT